CTAGTCTGATACCCTGTCTCTCACAGTGGCCAGCATTGGATGCTTCAAATGATGGTGCAAGAATCCCAGTAATGGATCATTATGAAATAACCTACCCGTAAGGGTAGTTTCTACCTAGCCCTGGTTGATGAATACGCCTCATACATTTTTTTATCCTAGCTAATGTAACCATGCATGTTCTCATTCACTATCAAAATGTCTAAGCCTTTTTTGAGTTAAGCTCTTGATAAGTAAAGATCCCATGGCACATTTTGTAAGAGTCAAGGCATCGGAATTTTTTTCAGGACACTGGGGCTAAGTTGGTTCATTATGTTCCAACTCCCTACATTCCTCCTGCAGCGTCAGTTGGATAAGATATTCTTCACTCTCTCTCCTGTAGTGCTGCTCTGAGCTATTTAAAGGAGGCTGCCTTCCGACCTGCCAAGTCTCCTTCATTGGGGATGTGACCCCATTTGGGATTGGTTTTCAGGCAGGATTTTCAAAGTCTCTCCCTCTTGGGAGGACGGATGTCCTTGCGTTTCAATGAGACATTTAAAATTTTCCCTTAAAATTAGGCCCTTCAAATTCCTACCGCTCAACAATGGTGCACATTGCCTCGTGGAGATAGCTGCATTTCTGAAATGATCCCTGGCATATGTAGGGACTCTCTTCTCGTTTACACTGCTGGGGTCAACTGGGGGAACTCTGCTGAAGCAGTGTAAAACCAGAGTGAGAACACAATCAACCCCATAACTTGTAAAGTCTTGAGAACTTTGATGAAAAGTGCTACACAGATGTCAGTTATTATTGTACATAACAGGAATCTCCCCTCCTAAAATAAACCCGATTTTCCAGTGGAATAGACTGGCCCCAGGGGGACTCTATTTCTCTTAAGAGCATTTATTTAGTGCTGAATTCAATGAGTCCTAATATTGATCCAAACTGAAACCTCAGATCCAACCCCCCTGAACTTTAGGCAAGTTCAGATCCAGGCTTCCGGGCCTGAACCCATCTCTCTAATGAACTGCAACCTCAGATCCAAGCACTAGGAAAGTCTGGATCTGAACTGCATGGCACAGGCCCATCTCTCATCCCAAGGCACGTCTGTGTCACAGAAAGTAGCACCTGCTCAGTACCTGATTCACTTCTGCTTTATCATTTAAATGAGCAACTTTGGCCAAGTGTCTTCACGCCTCTGCCTGAGTTTCCCCATATGTTCAACGGGGATAATATTTACTTAGTAACATCATCTAGCATTTCCCAGTGCTGTTCACCCATAGATCTCAAAGGGCTTGTAAAAGCAGGTAAGTGTTACCAACCTCATTCTACAAATTACAGTTATGCCTCATTCTACAAATGGCGAATCTGAGGCATCACTGAAGTTAAAAGACTTGCTCCAGGTCACTCAGCAAATCATTGGTAATAAGGAATGTGACCCAGGGACTCCTGACTTCCTGCCTGCTTCTGTATCACATCACTCGCCATCATAGGCTTTAGAGCAACAGTTGTCCTATCAGACATCTCAGGGATTATTTGACAGCTGTGTGCAGTCAGCTCTTCCTCAAGGGATCAGTAAACGCCCTCTTATGACCTCTACTCACTGTTCACATGACACCAGGACTGTTTTCTTCGGTCCCCAATTAAGCACCCTTTATGCTGAAACCAATGGGAGTTTTGCCAGAGTAAGGTATGCTCAATAGGCGCTTACAACTTTGGTGGAGATGCTCAACAATCCTGTAGCCACACGTGGAGCTACAGTGACCCCTGGTGGTGCATGTAAGTTTCGACTCCGGTTTATGTGGTTTAATCTTAATATAAATTGAAATTACAGTTTATACCGACCCTGGCCCTCAGAGCCTATTTTTTTCCCTCCCTGGCAGCACAGATTTCATTAGTCCTGCTGCCCTCTTGCTTCTCTAACCAATTCAGACATAAGCACAGTGTCAAAGGGCACTGACAAAGCAGCTGAAGCCGTGCAGGACTGGAAAGCTTTCAATCAGTCAGAACAATTGAACTTGCTGAGAAGACGACTCATGAACACCTCCCTCACTGCCTGCAGACTGGCCTCTTTGACCAGCTTGTTTCTATGATGTTCACCCTTTGCTACTCGAGCACAAATACTCTGCCCGTCTACAGCACCTTTCAGTGGAGGATCTCAAAGCTTCTCACAAACAGGAGCCTCACCACAGCTCTGCAAGACAGGCATTAAAGCCAACAGGGAAACTGAACTACAGAACTGCTGAGTTGCACAGGTGCTCATAGGAGGTTAGTTGCAGGGCCAAGAATAGAATCCAGGAATCCTTGCAGAACCCTGAACTAACCATTAGGACGCACTACCTCCCCTGTTTGTTTTTTAAGTGGGACAGTAGACAGACATACCCTCCACCCACTGTGGAAGATCCAGGTGGTTAAATATAAGAAGGAAGAGCCTCTCAATAGTGGACGTGGGACATGTAATTCTCCCGTTGGTTCAGAAAAAGTCATCCCCAGACAGAGGAAAGAAGACAGTCGGACATTACCCACAACCAACCTGCACCTGGAAACACAGGCTCTTATTGTAAGGACCTGGCCCAACTATTGGTAATCCAGTGCATCGCGCTAGGTGGCACTGGTTGTCTGGAGAGATCCTGCCTATGGGAGCTGCTGACCCAGAACAGTGCTGTTTAGTTACGTGCTGTGCAACAGTTAATAAAGGTAACCTGTGTGAGATCTCTGACTCTGTGTTGCATTCAAGGAACTATAAGAATTAGGCAGCGTGCAAGCACGGGGCAAGATCTTTCCATTCAGGTAACTGCATATAGCATCCTTCCGCTTGTCCAGCTCTCCTCATGCCCACGCTAGCCGTCACCAGCACCCTCCGAGGCACTGATGGAGACAGACTGCAACCCCTTTTGTTCGTGACATTGTACCCAAGCTGTTACCTACTTCCGAGTCTGCCTTCCCCAAGGTCTTAGAGGCATGAGTCTGAGACTGTCCCCAGGTAATAGGACCTCAGACCCAACTGAGATTTCCTTCTACAAAAGCAGGTTTTGTAACTGGATTGTCAACAGAGAATTATAAAACAACCTGATGTGCAAAATATACTTCCCGAGCCAAATACAATGGAAAACGATCTTAGGCAGCTGTTAAGCTTAAATTACAAAGGCCTGTAGAACATACCTGCGAACCAGTCACAGCTACAAAAAGCTCCTTCCCTCTCCCAAGGAAGGGTTTAATGGCTAGCAAAATCCCTCCTTCCTTCACAAGAAACCAACCTTATTCTACCAAACATCTACCCTGCTGGCCAAGGAGAGGTTACCCCCTGCCTCATCTTCTGTAGCCATTTGGCCTGACTCGGGCTTCAGCTCAACTCCCCACACGGACAACTATCAGCAACAGCTGCCATCAAGAGAAATCACTGGGGCTGAACTTTTTTATTTGCCTCTTTAGTCTGTATAAAGGACATGCCAAAGATTAGACTAGACCAGGGGTTCTCACAGCACATTTTTTGGTAGCCTCCAAGTGCGGCATTTATTTATGTAGGGTTTTTTTTTCAGAATCAGTAATAAAAATAATGTACAGTTGTCTCTATTCATTACTGGACCTAAAGGGACTAGAAACACATATAAGGCACTTTGCATGTTCTTGTCTTTTTGTTGTTGTTGTTTCTTTTGCTTTTTTCATTGCTTTTTTTAAAGACTTGCTAGCTAGTAAGTCTGCAGCTGTGGAAAGTGCCATTTGTATGTTTATTAATATCACTTTTCACAGCAGACTTACTCAGCCCCGGCAAACTCTGGGACAAATTAAGCCCTGGATGGGGAGGTGGGCAGGGAGGCAGCAGGGCCAAGGGACGATGGTGGGTGTGGTGAGCCTGGGGCTGGAGCCTGGAACCATAGCCTGCCACCACATGGTTGGAGCCCGAAGCCCTGCGGCCAAAGAAGACTCCCGGGGGGGAGGGGGGGGGGGAGGGCCCAACCCCTGCTGGCGGCCATGGGAGAGGGGCCACTGCTTTGCGCCCCCCCAAATCACAGCCCAGGAGGCTGTGGCCGCAAGAAAAGCCCCTGGTGGCCGTATTTGAGAAACGCTGGACTTCAGCTGCAGGAGCTGGTATTTTAACTACAGCATCTAAGCCTGTTCAGAGCCCGTGTGCATAACATGGTGGATAAAGCACTGCTGCTACCTTGTCTTCTAGGAGAACTTACCAACGCCTCAGAAATAAAAACAACGAGGAGTCCTTGTGGCACCTTAGAGACTAACAAATTTATGTATTTAGTCTCTAAGGTGCCACAAGGACTCCTTGTTGTTTTTGCTGATACAGACTAACACGGCTACCACTCTGAAACCTGTCAGAAATAAAAGAAAATACAAAAGCCATTAAGGACACTTCCCAGACAACACCATCAACCAGTTATAAAATGGCCACTTTAAATTTGGCAGAGACAAGCAGCTGCTGTGCTAAAGGGTGAATGTCCCTCCACCCCCCGCCCCATGGCTTGCTGGGAAAAAGTTGAGAAGGGTATGTTAGTAGGGACAAAGGGAGTTGTTTCTGTGTAGTTAATATTAAAGGAGGGGTGACCAGAGGCTGCATAAACTAACTAACCAACCCACCCAGGAGTAGATGTCTGTATTCAGGGTTTGTCTACATGGAGAAATTGACTGGAATAGGCTATTCTGCAATTGCTCCCTTGGTGGATGTGCTATTCTGGAATAAAAAG